TAGGTTTAACTTTGGTGATCATATGAGAACCACTGTTTCAATATGATATGGATGTAAGCTAATATAAGCTGAGTTTCATTATTTAATAACCAGACCTCATAATTGTCAATTGATGATTGTTTTTTTTTCATGTTTTGTAGCTTATCAACCCTTTATGGGTTATTCAAAGCAGAAATATATTTTGGATTGTAAGTATAATTATTTTTCTAAGTTAATATTACATTGACAATTTTTGAGAATGACAATGGTTTTTCTTCATACAAGTCCTACTATTTAACTCATAGCAGGGCAGGAAGAGAGGGATTCATAACTTTCTTGATGTTATTTGTGCATAAATGGAATCAACTTGAATTTGAACATTGCTCTCCAATTTCTCATTCTGAGCCATTATCCATTACACCACCTGCACATCCAGCTTATATATAAAAATAGTTCTTTAGTTCTCCAGCACTTGTATAAATTCATGTAGACATATTTTTAATATGAGAAATATTTATTTTCATATAATTTTACATTTATGAAATTGCTATGAGAATAATGTCTATATTATTACTATGTACATTTCCTTTGAACAAGGCATTATAAATTCAACTTCTAGTTCAGTACACCTGTGGATCTATCTCTATAGACTACTACTATCTTTTGCTTCACATGTATAATACATTCAGTTTTTAAACCCCCCCCCAACACCACCAACCAACCAACCAACTCCACAAAGAAAAAAAAGAAACAAAAAAAAGAAAAATTTGTGACAAAGATATTTCAGTAAGTATTACACTTTGAGGGAAAAAAGTAGGAGGAATTTGAGATTTTACTGCAAAACTCCACTTTTGGTATTTCAGGAAGATATAATTAAAGAGTCTTTTTGCATTCTTTTTTTTTCAATCATTTCATCTAAAGCAAGGCAATAATGCCACTAAGATGCAAGGGGTTACTTAGTGTGAGATAATATGAACAAAAAAAATAACATTAGAGAGAGAACAATAAAAGAACAGGAATTAATAAGAAAGATATCAATTGACATTTCATTTAAATGTTTGAAGATCAAAATTGACTGGGAAGCAAGAAGCTGAAAGAGTTTCACAAGAACAAAGATCTTAGGTTATATCTAGCCATTTCAGCTGTAAAATGATGAGACCTTGCTGCCAGTCTAGCAGTACTGCACTTAAATTCAAAAAATCTAAATGCCAAGGAGGAAAGCTCATCAGAACAATTATCATGAAGGTATTTATAGAAAAGTCACAGGGAAGTTACATTACAGCAGTGGAAAAGTGACTGAAACTGAGATACCAGGTCAGATTCTTTTGATTTCATCAAGAATCTCAAAATACATAGTAGAAGCATCAGACCAGATATGACAGCAATATCCAATGAATAGACAAATGGTAGACTTTTAAATATGCAAGATAGCTTTTGTTGAGAAGAATTGTCTTGCACGACACAGTGAATCAACTTTCCTAACAGTAGGATCTAGAAATTGATTCCATATAACTGTTCCACTTCATGTCAGTGGAAAACATGAGCCCTTGTTAGTCGTGCTTTTAAACAAAAACACGCACACAAAAATTCCTGATATTTACACTATTAACGTTGGGTAATGTGAAAAGTTCACTTTATTGTGTAAAATTAAAAGAATTTATCTTTTTTTACATTAATTTTATTGAACAACATATTTACCATTTTGTTTCACTATCTTCTGCCATTGTTCTGGCAATTTCATAATTTCATCTTCACAGAACTTTTGCTCATTCGCAGCAAAGGACTGCTCTAGGTACCTTTGCAGTGTTCCAGAAAACTGAAATATTTTCATTAAGAGAATTTTGTAAAGGCTAAAATAAATAATATGAAAGTTCAATAATTGCTGAATATCATAGATGTGTGAAAATCTCCCAGCCAAAGTCAGGCAATTTTTGCCTAATCACCAAAAAAATATGCAGTCAATCTAGCAATATTCTAATGGAATATTATTACACACTTTCTGATAACTAATTCAGGACATATGCTTTTTATTAATTGCTGCCTTTAATACTTTAATACTTGGAAAGAAATCAGTCACCTTGTCAGTTGGTCAAGAATATGTTAGCTATACCCCCTTGCAAAGGTTTAAGCCTCTCTGCAGAAAGCAGCCTCTTGTTTATCATAGCTATGTCTACCTTTTTGATTCTCATGCAAAATGACACCTATGTCTATCTACCTATTGTTTATTAAAATGATAGAATATGGCATTGAATAACCAGAAAAAGGTCAACATGTTATAAAACAAAATGAGAGAGCTTATAGAAAAATCCCTTTCAATTCTATTGCAGATACAGTATCAGCATCTTTGAAGGCTGACCTTTGTTATAGTTAGTGGTGGTTTATTTTGACTGTCCCATGATCTCTTGCATGTCATGTTGTTGTAAAGTATCTGTTTTTCATTATTCATCACAAAAAAAAGAAAAGAAAAAAAGGAAAGCTTCAATTCCATTTAATTTGTCGATTGCATACCTTAAAATAAGTAACATAAATAAACTGTTGAAAATGATTTTTGTTGCTTAACTTGAATATTTTGAGTAAGTTGGCTCTCTCTCTTATGTTGTATAATATTAATTACTCTCAAGTAATGTCCTCATTTCATTACTATCAATCTCAAATTCTATATCCAAATGGGGAATATTGTTTAATGAAAAATATCCAACATAAAACTTCAAACATATTTTGATAGATTTTTTCAATATATTTTCTTCATAAACTCCACAAATGATTTTCATTGTATCTGCATTTTTACTTTTCTTAAAATAAGCAGAATGTATCAAAATTGTTGCTTATTTTCTTTAAACTTTTTAGTTACTCAATAATTTTTAAAATATATTAAAAATAAAATTATTTTATTTTTATTATCTGTTATCATAAATTTTAAATGCTAATCAAATGCATGAATTAGTTTGCCTAGTCTTTATACCACACACAAAGATTTTTATTTGGTCAAATATCATATAGAGATTCCCAAGCCTTGCTTTAAATATACTGTAAGTCACTTCCACCACAACTTTCTCATAAATAACAAAGAATTGTAAGTGGCCTTCAACTAAAAAAGCTTGAGTTGAACAATCCAAATAATACAGAAAACAGTTGGCTTCCAAACTACAACAATGACACAAACAGATAAGCTAACAATTTCAACTACTATCTGCATTGTCTTTTGTAATAAAAATACAAAAACTCATTGCATGAGGCTAATAGTGGTTATTATGAAAATTTTTTTTTTATCCATTTATAAGGTAATGGGAAATAACTATTTTTAGCCAGAAGTCATGGCAATTCACAGATAATAAAGAAAAGGAATCTGCAGAGAATCATGATTGCTTACATCCTGAAGGGGCCTGAGATTTACAAAAAAAAAATCTTTATTATATAGTAAAGTAGAAATTATTTTTTTATATTTGATTATTTCTATAACATGAGTGTTAACATACTGAGATTATAAAGATTGAAGAGAGATTAATTAAGAAAGAAACTAGATTTCAGCAGTTTATGTAATTCTTTTATTTTCAAGTGTTATACTTTCTGAACAATAGCACCGTTAATATTAAAAGAAGGATTTCACTCTCTTATAACTAAGACCTACCACATTCTACATTGGTCAAAATCTGAGAGTTAAGGATCTATATCTGAGAGTTAACAAGATATATATATATATAAAAGAAATATGTTGTAGTGGTTCCAACGAGAGAAAAGTATGTATATTAAAAAGAAGGGGTGCATAAACGTTTTTGGTTCTAGAATTCTAGAAAGAAAAAAATATTATAACACACAAAACAGAATGTCTCTGGTCTCATAAATATTTCACATTGAACATGAAGAAAAATTAATTATTTTTAAAAATAATTAAAATTTCTTCACTTTCACCTGAAGACGGTCTTGCGAGACCAGAAACACTGTTTGTTATGTTGGCAAAGTATAATTTTTTTTCTCAATAAATCCACATTACAACCAAAAACGTTTATGCACTCCCCTTCTTTTATATATATATATATATATATATATATATATATATCACTGGTAACATGACTCAGAGTTTGAATCACAATGTAATCTTCAGGTGCTGACTGTTACGTAATTGAAATTTTAATAAAAATATCTGGTTAATGCAATGTTGATGTAGTCCATATATTATACGGCAATTACAGTTTTATATATACCAATGAGAGAGAGTGGACATAGGAATCAACACTTCAGTGAAATTACTCCTTTAGTAGACTACATATATGGTAAGCTGAATATGTAGGTTACTAGAGGATTAAGTGAAGTTGGAGATGAGGAAACCATCTTTTCTGAGTCATGAATAAGTGAAAATCTGTTTGTTTCATGGTTGAACACAATCTTCAAATCAAAAGATTGTATTCAAGTATAAAAAAAAACTGTCACTGGTCGGTGTTGACCTCAGTGTCCACTTTATATATATTTTCTTGATTTTTAATAACAAAACAGAGAAACAAAGTTCATTAGAATTAGGTCATGAGATTTTAATATAATTCCTTTTGGTCATAATATGTAGGTAGTGGAGAAGGAATTTGCTTTCATACCTGCATTTGGAAATGAGTTGTAATATTTTATTTGTGAGTTTATCTTGTTCTGAAAATGTAATAATCACTATTTTCTCTTCTAGCAAAAGTGACATCATTTTGAGGTGTGGTTTGTGTTTTATATATAAGCAACTTTGGTGTCAAGTCTTTCTGCTTATGTAATTGTTTTAATAGTAAACGTTTGACAGTACACAACTCTTTATATACCAATAATGGATACATAAGTACTAACTTGTGAAAGAATATGTGTTTTAAGAATGCATAGGAATCATTGTGCAAAAAACAATGAGGTGGCAAAGCAAAATTAACATTAATTCATAGATTTTAATAATTGCAGGTGTGCACATGCATAGATCTGTGATCTTAGAATCTCTGAAAGGTAAATTAATTTTTTTTTTTAATATATATTTGATTAATGATGAGAACAGTACTTACTCGGTCTTTGGCTGCCAGCAGCTGCTTGACCACAACTTTATCTGCTAACAACAACACTCGGGTAATGGCTGACAATAACTGTCTGGCCGCTCGGACCATTGCAGTTTTTTCCTTAAAAGATTTTGTGTGGCCAGGACAGGAATCAGGAGTAGCTGTCAACTTTTGAATACAAGCACCTGTGAATGAAAAAAATCCTTTTTCAGTTGAAGAGAAAAATAAGATAAAAGCTTTTACAACAGTCACACTGTTGATATTTGCTAACTGATCTGGTATTTCATCATCTATATAAAATCAAAACAGAGCCCTTAAAATTTCCATGGCTGATTAGTTTACAAAGTGTTTATAGCTGTCACTAGTAATCTCTCAAGTTTGACGTTTTGGGGCTTACATTTCATGTTATAGAGTGGTGTAGACTTTTATTATTTCAAACTGTTGTTCTCATTTAGGTTGATATAGACAATTACTCAGAAATTAAATTCTAAATTATGAAAAGTGGTACAAACCCACCATAATAACCAAACATCAAAACCAACTGACATTGAATATAAAGGCTCCAAAAATACACCACAGGGTGGTGGGGTAGTGGATATAGGCATTGGTTATGCATGTGTTACTGTCATTTAGTGGTTGTGAGTTCATGTGGACTAATTGTCAGATATTCTTGGTATTTATTTACCAGAAACTTTGGAACAAACTGTGATGAAAGGTATATAATAAATATTATATATTTATTTGATTTAAATTGAAGTGAGTCCTTTGATATTCAGTGGAGCAAATGTTTGCTTATAAGGCAGATCTTGAAGAAAGTCCATTTTCACTCGGTATTTGACAGTTTAGAAGTCAGACCTTATTAGTAATTGCTATCTTAGAAATAAACACAGCATCAATCTGCTGTCCTTTCTTGGCTCTAAGAAAAGTGGAAAAAAAATCTCTTAAGCAGATGACTGATTAACTTCTTCATGTGACATGCATGACTAGTTTCTTTGCCTCTGGGATGTCAGTTTATGTGCTTTTTGACAAGGCTACCAGACTACTGGTGCAAAGCTTGATTTTTGCTAACATCAAAAGTCTTTGTTTTGATTTTTTGATTATTTTGTGGGTTTCTTTTTCATTTTTTTTTTTTCTTATATCAGAAGTTATGCATGGAGCCTCTCTTTTTTTAGTAGATTTCTAGTCACAAATGGCTAAACTCTGGTCCAGCAAACTTCCACTGTTTTCAGTCCAGGTTCAGTCTTTTCTACATCTTTTTATTCAAGGGTTGTCTTCTCATTAGTTGAGAGAGAAGGAAAGAAAAAGAGATATGGATTTTAAAGAAAAGCAAATTCCTTATTTTACTCTTAATTCTTTTTTTTTTTTTTTCCTTTTGCTTAGATATTTTAATTTTCATACATTCAATCCCTGAACCAGCAGGAACATACAATAACTGGCATTACAGCGACAAACATCACAGTATCGACCAAACAATGGAAACTTGGTGATAAGAGAGTGGTTGTCCAAAATGTTGTGTCTATAACACCTACAGCAATCAACATGATATTAGTAGTTTGGAATAATAAACGTATATGGACATTTTCTTGTCTCATAAATGAAACAATAAAGTAGAGCATAATGGTTCTGTGAAGTATAAATATCAATCTATATTAATGAAAAATACTGAACAATTGAAAAATCTGTCAATATGATTAATGACTGAACGGATCACATATTAAATTAATATTGATTATGTTTTGTCTAGAAAAAACAATCATTTCAACAAATATCTACAGCTACCAAATTGAAGAAATCTGTATTGTACAATAATCACCGCAAAAAAGTTTTCAATAGATAGAAATTGATAAGCATTTCACACTTTTATTAACATTTTGTTATTAAATAAATGCATTGTTCCACTACTGAAATTCAGTTTAACTTTCTCCTATATTACAATACTATCTATATCTATAAAACAGAAGATGTCTGTGCATGCTATTTATCCACATCCACATTTCTCAACATAATTTTGATGAAATTGTACACACTTGTAAATTTACCAAGGTAAGTTAAGACCAACTTTTCAACTCCAGTACCCCACACCTTATGTTTGGCAGAAAAATCAATAAAACTTAAGGTGGGTAGAACTTTTTGCAAAAATCAAGGCAAAATTACACATGAACAAAATTTTTACTGGATGAGCTGATGTTCTTTGCACTTAATGCAAAACATCAGCTCATGTTATGGGGTTTATGTAGAGTGCTTGATAGTTTTTCTGCGACATTGGCTTCACACAAAAAACTGAAAAAAAATCAGGTTTTTCATACTACTTAAAATTAACTTCTTAATTTTTTATCTGATTTTCTTCAAACAGGTTGCGAAATATTGCTATAAGGCAAGAAATAAGATAGTGTGGTTTTAGTCTTGCTTGCTTCCCTGCGTATAATGAAAATCCACAAAAACTGTTCAAAAAGCCTGTTTTTCAGCCATAACTCTCTGGTTTTTCATCTAATGCTTTCCAAATTTGCCATGTAAATTACATATGACATACAAATTGTTTTGCATGAATTTTTGGTTTAGATTATTTCAGTTAAGTGGATGAAATCTGCGATAAACTAGGTCCAAAATTGGCTTTTGCCATTTAGCTAATAGTTTCTTCATGATTCCATCCTAAATTGGCATTTGAACAACCTTTAATGCAAAGATTGTTTGAGGAGGATTATTGAAGCTTTAAAAGGGAAGAACTCCCAAAGAGCCTCTTATTAACCCCAACTTTACAGTAAAAAAATGGAGGGGTGTCATGCATTTGCACTTGCAGTTGAATCGAGTTCTGACGCTTCATCCCTGTTTTTGTTTGATTAGATTGGTGAACAATGCCATACTATTTGAAAGTTATTGTGGCCATAGGAAATTTACTGAATATCTAAGATATTGAAACAATTTAACCCCGAGCAACAACTGCACAAGAAGTTTTTATCAATGGAATTCCTTTATTAAGAACAATTAAACACTTAGAAAAGACATACCATAAAAAAAGCTGAGGAGGATAGTAGCTTAATATGCCAACGGATGATGCATGTAAGCAGGGATGCAGGCAGACATTTCTAGACAGGGGGTGCAGTTATACAGTTGTAGCCATGTACACCTATACAATGCCAAGTACCTCAGCTAGTTAACCATAAAATATTAAGGTCATCTACTTTCGCAAAATGTTAGCATTGTTGCAAAAATTAAAACAAAAGAATTTCTTCATATTGATGTTGCCATCTGTATATTTTAATTTGGTTACTTCCTGAATTTTAGATTATAGAATTAGTCAATTTAAGATCAGAGAAAGTCATTTGACCTTTAAAAATTTAATAATACTAAAGTATATTGATATCATGTATAAATTACAGAATATCAGAGTTCTCTATATATTTCTGACTTAAGAGTAAATTAGTGTCCCCGGCCCAAGGTAATGCCCCAAAAGATGGAAATAAGAATCAGTTGAATCAAGTGTTACTAGGTTTGACTGAATGTAGCTGGAGTTTGGAAGTTGATTCCACAGTTTAGGGATATAAACTGGGAAACAAACAGAAAAGAGAAACAGAATAAGGAAAATAAACATAAAAGTATGCACCTTTAATCAAATCTCTAAATGAAATGGAAATGTTCATATAACAGATTTATTCAGAGAATAACTTTTTCCTCTTAGGAAAATATTACACAAAGCAGACAGCTAAAACCTAATGTGTTTCAAGGAATTAAATCGTTTGGTTTTAAATTGCTGATAAGTCTTGGATAAAACTGTCTAAAATATAGCATTAGCTTGAATATAGCTAAATATGAAATGTTAGTTTTTAGATGCAGTTTTACATTTCCTAGTTCATATCTTTGAAAAAGAAAAAATTTTATTAAGACATACTTCTAACATTCTTCTTCTATGTACCATGTTTCTTCAGGACATTGACAATCATTGCTTGCCACAATTTCCTGTCCTTTGTAGCTCTTAATAAATTTGGTCTTTTTGTTATCTCTCCTAAAACTTGTTCCACCATCCATTTATTTTCACTCATGAGGTAGGTTATGCCTTGCTTTCATCTGTCCTTCTTGCCTACAATATGTCCTGTGAGTATGAAATTTTCCAAGCTCTCATTTCTTCCTGATTTTAAGTGTCCTTTTTCTTTTCATTTTCTCTAAAACTTTGTCATTCCTTGTATGTTTGGTCCATAGCATCCTCTGCATCCTTCTATAGAACTACATTTTTGTTCCAAGTCTCTTCTTCATTTGTGAGGAAATTGACATAAAAATTTTAAATATTTACTTTAATTTCCTGTATTATAAACTAGACAATAATATATTTTAAATAATCTATTATCTATTGTTTTTTTCTCAATATCTAAAAGTAATTTGAATCTTAATATTCCAATATAAATTAGAATCATCTCACCAACAAATTCATAAATAAAACTGAACTTTGCAGAAATCATGGCTCATTTCTCCTTGTAATGAGAATATTTATAGGATTTTTAATTACAGAATATTTGACCTTAAAAGAAATACTGTTGCAATGGACACTGTATGGAATTGATACAGTAAAGGGAATAAGAATTTCTGAGATGAGGAATTATTATAATAAACTGATTTATTCAAAATGTTGTTCTTTTGTTTGTTTTAGCTATATTTTTATCATTGTAACTCCAGCCTTTATTCTATCCATAGGAGTAGACAGTTTCCATTCTGTTGTTAATACTAGGGGATGTTTCATATATATTAAAGAACCAAGACATGAGGCGGAAGGTACTCAGATACACAGCATTCCTACAACCATGCCCAGTCATAGGACTGATGGTGATTGAACTACTTGGTTCCAATCCACTATTCAGTTAAAAAAAAAAGTTTCTGCAATAACGAAGTGCCAATCAAATACAATATGCAAATATGCTTGGAAAAATGTGAATCCATCTCTTCTCCTCCCAGCTATGGGTTAAATAGCAGAAAAACTAGGCTCTTTAGCCATGGTTGGCAACCAATCTAAGAGAAAGATAACTGAATTCAAAGCTTAGCTGCATGAAGCTGTACTAAGACAGGTGCAAATTGTCTGATAGGGTACAGATATCTTGTCTGTAAAACAAAACATCAACCTCAATGGAAAGTAATTATCCAGAATGCTGTTCGCACCAACAAGCATTGGACACAATAAAATTAATGAGAATGAAAATGA